TTTATTCCAACTTCTCTTGAATTTGCAGAGCTTCTTGGAACAGCAACCAGACCAAACACCTTCAGTTATGCCGAGTTGAGAGCTGCAACAGATGACTTCAGTCCCTCAAATAAGTTAGGAGAAGGGGGATTTGGTCCAGTATACAAGGTAAGCTATTGGCTTAGAATCTTAAATCTGTTTTTAATGAGGTAGAAGATTTATATGACAATGTTACTAAAAAGGGCACTTTATATAAATTATAGGGTACACTTTCTGATGGGCGGGCAGTTGCTGTGAAGCAGCTTTCAGTAGCTTCTCACCAAGGGCAGAGTCAATTTGTTACTGAGATTGCTACCATATCTGCAGTGCAACATCGCAACCTTGTTAAACTGTATGGATGCTGCATTGAAGGAAACAGCCGCCTCCTTGTTTATGAGTATCTTGAGAACAAAAGCCTTGACCAAGCACTGTTTGGTATGACTGAACAAGTTATTTGCTCCCTTTTAGCCTCTATGAAGGAAAAGGAAACATATCTGCATCTGTATTCATTTCTTCACCAAATTAATCACTATCCCTAACATTTCCTGCCTCACATATTGCAGGAAATAAAGACTTGCATCTTGATTGGCCAACCCGCTTCAATATCTGCCTTGCAACTGCTAGAGGACTAGCTTATCTTCATGAGGAATCAAGGCTGAGGATCATACACAGAGATGTGAAGGCAAGTAACATTTTGCTTGATTCTAAGCTCTGTCCGAAAATATCTGACTTTGGACTGGCAAAGCTATATGATGACAAGAAAACTCACATCAGCACTCGGGTGGCAGGAACCATGTAAGCTTCTTGAATCACTATATGAAAAGAATATCTAATTGTTTGCATTATATTGTAGCTTGTATATGTTATTTGGTTTCATAGCATCAAACCATCAATGGAATCCAGAGACTTTGTATCATTGAGAAATCATCTCAATAAACCTTCAACATTCAAATTTAATTGCTTAATTGCAATATTTGCAGTGGCTATTTGGCACCAGAGTATGCAATGCGTGGCCACCTCACTGAGAAGGCAGATGTGTTTGGCTTTGGTGTTGTTGCTTTGGAAATTCTGAGTGGAAGACCTAACTTTGACAACAGCCAGGACAATGACAAGATCTATCTTCTTGAATGGGTAAAGAAAGAAACTCTTTTCCATTTTTCCTTCTCCATAGACACATTCCTTGTGCATGAGATTTACTTATACAATGTTTCTAGGTGTGGACTCTGTACGAAAGAAACCAGAGTCTAGGTCTGTTGGATCCAACCCTAGTGGGGTTTGATGAAAATGAAGCTTTAAGAATGATAAGAGTGGGACTCCTGTGCACACAAGCATCGCCAATGATGCGACCACCCATGTCAAGGGTTATAGCTATGCTTGCTGGGGATCTCGAAGTGAGTCCTGTTGCATCAAAACCGAGTTATTTAACTGACTGGGATTTTAAGGACATAACAGCCAGCATTGAGGCTGAAAACACACTATCTATTAAATCTGAGCACGGTGATAACAAGGACAAGAACTATCTTAATCCAGGGATAGAGCTGGTGCCTTCTCCATTAAATATCACTGAATTCAGTGACATTATTGGGGAAGGAAGGTGAGATGTTTTTCCTTAAAAGCTCCATTTTGGTACTTGTCTTGCTTTGACCTTTGCCACATATTTTCTAGCTCAATAAAGTAGATACTGAAATTGTGTGAATTTCTGTCATTCGAACTCTTTATATGTTTGATCATTTCTCTCTCTGTAAATTGAACGAGATATTGAAATTTTGGCATGCAATAAGGCTGCAGTATTTGTAACTCATGGATGTCATTACTATCATGTAGTAAGAATACTTCAAAGCTAGAGGATTGTTTGTAATTTCCATGTAACATAATTATGTCTTTTGTTCTTTTTTTTTTGGGTGGTTTCTTTTTCCTCTTTGTTTTTACATACTACCTCTAGCACATGCCACACCACCTACTCCAGCCAAGATATCAGCTCCTATGTTTGCAACCGACTCTAAGTCAATCTCAACAGTCACAACGGCACTACATGACTCCAATTTGCGGAGCCATAGCAGCACTTCAAATCTTTCAGCAATGCCTTCTTCCCGAAGAAAGAATTCAACAATGTAAGAATAACTGCAACTGCTGCAGCAAACTCAGAAATTCATTTAGTGTTCTTTGGGGCATGAGTGAGTCTCGTGTTGAGTTCCTAGTAGAAATATCTTTTTGCATTTGCTGCATTGATAAAGTGCACATAGCTTTGAGTTTTTGCATTGAGAAATATGCGTGGGTGTAGAATGTTAATGCATTGAGAAATATGCTCCATTGATAAGTGTAAATGGAGGTGTGTTTTCCTTCTCCTTTAGAAGCTATCTTACTCAAACTGCAAACAAGAATCGTTGCATGGAAATACCCTAATATTAGGGATTCACTAGACCTATCAAATTATTTAAGTTATACAGTTTGGTAGTCTAGAAAGTATAATTTATTTATTTATTTATTTATTTATTTTGCATACAAAGTGTATTAAGTTTATGAAAGAGTTGTTTATTTTACAATTTAATAATCTAATGGTAATTCAAATAAAATATATAAGATTGCAAATGGGCCAGTGGAAGTTTTATTTATATTGATCATTTCTGAAGGATCTCTGCATCCCTATAGGATTAAGGCATTCAATCTTACTCTTGATGATGCTAACAAGAATGATGCTAGGAGAGGTGTAGAGTTGATTGGAAAGCTAAATTTGGGTGATCATTTGTTCTCCTATTTTGTCGAAGATAAACTCTATTATAAGGTTTACTACAGATGATAATTGATGAGTGGTTATTAGTTATTACCATCCGCATGTTTTCAGGCTACATAATTTTATTAATATTTTATAAACATAATTTTCTTAAATAATTAATTATAATATTTAAAAATATTTGTATATAAAATAATTTTAATATATTAAGTAATA